ACCACAGTCAACCGCCGATAAATACACATATTGTCGTAGAAATACTGCACGCGCAGAGTGAGGAGACTTTCAGGACCCTCGTCACACTCTTCTTGATAGAAAAGCGCCATCCAGAGTTAGCTGCGCATTATCTGCTCCTCACAGCCATATCCGCCCATCAATACTTGCAGACATTACCTCCCTCCGATTACCATTCTACAAATGCCTGCCTGATTTTATGAGTTGTAACACAAGTACTTGGAGATTGCGTAATATCCAACAAATTGGTACTCTACGTTGCCTTTTAACACGAACATGCGATGTACGGGATTACAAAACTAACTGCCCCTAGAATAAACAAAGGGCAATTAAAAATAAAGGAAACTACTGTTTTAAATTTAAAAATGGGAATTCTGATGTAGCGAAATTACATGAAATAGTAGCTTGCGCATTTTTTTTTGTGAAAGGGACCCATTAGACGCCATCCGGCACAATGGCGAAGGGCAGTGGTAGCGCGTGTGTACAAATTGTGGCAAATAACGAATTTGCCCACTGAAAGTGTTTACACTTGTGTATACCCGTATCTGCAGCAATGACGATTGGCAGAAATGGTGGCCTTTAGTATATTGCCAAGTCGAATGCTACTGATGTCTATTCACTAGTGTGTTTCTAGGTCATCATTATAATACCTAGATGCAGTTACATAGCCGACTCGGATTAGGAGACGATCATTGTTGTTGATATGTGCTTCGAAGCAACAACAGCAGCTCCTCCATCTCAACTATAACACCGTGTCAGATGAAGCTGTGCGCAGGAGGGATGTAGCTGGACTACGTGGGGGGGCAGTTCTGACACCATTTTTTGCCAGTGCGAAAAACAAAGGTAATGAGTAGCAATTACATTAGAGTATAGTAGAGGTAATAGTCGCTTCTTCAAAGTATTTGGTGCCGGAATAAGGCTCTGTTCTAAATTTTCCACAAAACACCCATTCTGATTGACATGGCTCAAAATTGCAACTAAGTGTGTCTTGTCTTGAAAAGTCTGTGCTGCAGGTCCTGTGTGATAGAAATGTGCAGAGAAACAGATCTAATCAATTGCTGTTTTAATAACTACTTTGATGCAGTAAGCTTGCGCATTAGACTGATTGTTATATAAACAAATAAATATATGTATATATTTAATGCAGGTCTCGCCACATTAGTTCCACCACCCGTCTCTTTATTTTATGCCTACTTACCCATTTCTATTAGCATTGCAACTTCTTCCGAAGCATACTTCACGTCAAGTTTAACATTGTTCTAATGTGCCATGTGCCTAAAGAAAAATAATTAATTCCTTACGTTACCACGGTAAATAACAATTCGGTGTGAAGATGCCTTTATTCGCATGAATATATCGAAGTAAACTTGTATGACTTTGAAGGTGTTCTGAAAAGTTAAGTTGGTCAGATCACCAGAATACTACAAAGTGCAGGTCTGGACTGGTTACAGTGACGCCACTAATGTGCAGGTGTTTTAGAGCATTGCGCTTCCATATCATTCATTGCACTTCAGTCGCCGTAGAGAGCTCCAGCTTTTAAACAATGCGACAACAACTCACACATCCATTAACAATCCTCTCAACTCTGAGAAACTCAATCGTCAACCACAATCATAGGAACATGCACACTTGGTTGAGTGGAAATTTACCAAGCACATCTGCTTCCTTCCTCTAAGCACTTAGGCACTAAACTAGTGAGAACTTACATCCACGCATTGTTGGTACAAACAGAGTGGAGAGCAGCCTGACGATAAAAGTTTCTCATTCGCAGTTGACTGCAGTTTTACCCAATCCGCCAACTATGATGATGAGGTCACACCGCAGAGCCTGTAAATGCACGCAAGGCATTTCGGTAGCCACAAACGTGTCCTATGCTGGCAATTACCGCCGTATTTATTTGTCGCCTCTTACTCGGATACGTATTCACAAATTCATTCAGTGTTATATTTGAATAATTAATAATAATTTGCGAATGCTAAAAACTACTTTGCCAGACATTTCAAATAAATACGGCGGTAACTGCCAGCATAGCACACGTTTATGTGCCAGTTTCACTTAAGCTGTAAATTATCTTATTCTACAAGTGGACTGCAAGACTAATCCATTATTTATGTTCTCCTTTTTTCCCTACACAGATTTCAACACTTAAAATGCTTGCCTCGACTTTTATCATGATTGTATAAAAGAAGGGCAAGAAATTTTACTTATCTAATAAGGGAACAAAGGGATCCTTGTTTATGCAACAATGTACTTTTTACAAATAAGAAAGCAAGCACTTAGGTTTCTCCATCTGGTAAGCAAGTGGTGTTTACTAGATGTTTTCCTGTCACCTTCGAGCACTGATTCAAATTTAGGAAATTGAACTACGACCTTAGGACTCTGGTAACAACACCCACTTCCTTATCGCCAAATACCTTGCAAATAGCTTTTTCCTTTTCCTTTCCTTTTGGCTCATTTCCTGATTTCACATTATGTTCCCTTCATTACGCGGAGGACAGAACTCTACTCAGACTCACGATTCTGACAACTTACACAAAGTGAAGGCTAGGGCTATTTATTACCCTATTATTCACAGATTGGAGACCAGCTGTGCATCTCCTCCCCTTTAGTACCATTTGCCGTTTCGGGGTTTCCTCCGGTCAAATGCACTTCGTGGGAGCCGTGCATCCCATCGAGTCTGATACCACCTACCATTAGGTATGGCTTGTTGAAGGCATAGGCCCTGTCTCTGTGCACCACAAGAGACTAAAAATATCTAAAATTATACCATTTTGCTCCACCTTCTAAATATGCTTACTAAATCGCAGGTCCATGTTCAGCCAGCTGAGTGTTGAAGCAGTTGTATCAAGAGTAGAACAGTCTGAACATTACCGGGATTATTATATGATGCATGGTAGAATTTCAAATCACATGCCCATATATATCCACCAGTCCAAGTAAAGAATCTATTTATAAATTAATGAACAAGGTGGTGAAGCTAAACCCATTTTTATTAGAATTAGAAGCGTGATAAGCAGGTAAAACTTGGTTTATTTTAACTCTTAGTTTTGTATTATAATTTAAATATGATGAAATTTTAACCGAGGCATCTATAAGTTAACCAAGTTCATTGCAGCATAGCATATTTTGGTTAAACAAAACAAAAAATTTTTCATAAAATGGGAGTTTTGTGTCGTCTATGAAGTGCCAAACAGGATTTATTGATTGCTTCGATAAACAAATTCGGTCCAGACTTGCCCCATCCACCGCTTAACATCATGCAGGAATGAGGAGAATGCTTCTCTATTTGTGCGGTTTTCGCTACTGAATTAATTGCTGCATCAATATTAGTAAATTTTTATGGAGACGCAGTTACAATTTCCCCCTTTCATTTGTTTTATTGAACGAGAACTTGTTTCATTATAAGCTTAGCACTTGATATAGCGTAACGATACCAATTATACTTTTGAATATCACAACTGGACACACGTGCATGCGCACATGTACGCACAGGCGTAAAACAGTCGCGAAAGACGCACTGATCGACTTTGCAGTGATGAGGTGATTAGACTTTGAAAATGGGTTCCCCTACTTGACCCTATCATGCCAGTGACGGCCTGAGATTTGGGGACGAAGCTAACTCATTACTTGGAACCTCAAAGTCATTTCAATATTGGCAGTCATAAGCTAATGAAGTGACACCTCTAAACCGCTGCAATTCTGCCACCCACACTTCAGTATGGTGCAGACACAAATGCTGGTGTCAATGCCCAATCAGGGGCGTAGGCAAAACAGGGGCTAGCATTGCGCGTCGTTGTCTTCGTGCAAGCAGTCACCGACCAACAAGAAAAAACATTAAAAGGTGGCAGTTTAGGGTCGGATGCAGGCATGCTGGCAGTTGGCACCCATCGTGAATTGTTCTAGCTCATAAGTTACAGTTAGTACAAAAGGTAGCAGCAACCGAGTTTATCACCATTGTCAGACCGAACAAGCAAGCTTAGTGGACCCCACACTAGGGTATCAGCATGTTTAGCAATACGCGTTGATTTGGGTGCAAACTACTCCTACGTTGAAGTCTTCCAATACCCCAAGGTGAGCATTATCATTAACTATGAGGCTTACAGCTCAACACTTAGCTATGTCGCATTCGTAGACAAAGAACATTTCATCGGTGACGCCACAAAGAATCAAGCGGCCTTGTTTGAAGTGAAGCGCCTGATCAGGCGTCTCTTCAACGATGAGGTAGTACGAGGCAACATAAAAACTTGCTTTAAAATTACAAATTCGGAAGCTGACTTAACACACCAGCCATTTGAATTCACAACCTGCGATTGGAAGCCGAAAATCGAGGTAGAATACTGTGGTAAAATGAAACATCTGTTTGCGGAGGAGAACATGTTTATCATCCTGCTGAAGATGGAAAGGACAGCGGAAGCTTATTTTGGCAAGATGGTGACAGACGTGGTGATCATCGCACCAGTTCACTTCAATGATGTCCAGCGTCAGGCGATGATCGATGCAGAAAAAATGTGCTGCAATTACTTAATGAGCCAACGGCAGCTATCATTGCGTATGATATAGGCTAGCAATTTGTGCAATCAGATATTATGGAATAATCTGTTTAGCACAATTACCTTCTACTTATAACAGAATTATCTGCTTCATTCAATCAATGGTTTAAAATGAATAAAATGCTTTTCAGCTAATATGATATCAAGCTTACTGTTTTGTTTGTGTAAAGTTTAAGTGAAATAGACCTATCCCTAGATAGTCAGACTCAGCAGTCTCATTCCAAATGTTTGTAGGTCCTCTCTGATTAACGGAAAACTTGTCAATGCAGCTTACATTTGTACATGCGCATGGTACAAGTAGGAATAGGAGGAGGAGGAGGAGAAAGGATGAAGGAGAAAGATAGAATGACAGCAGTGGAAGGGCAGAATGTGTTTGAGGCTGGTAGAAGGAGTGGTATTGGGAGTAGCAATACATCCATAGCTTCAAGAGGACCACTAATCATCTGCGACGACGTAGGGAAGCGGCCTTATCTGTTGATGTCAAAGGAAGTAGTAGGTGCCAAAATTTGTTTATATAGAGGTCAGCCTTCAATAACGCACTGTAGGAGGGATCCGCGATCGCCAACGAATGGCTGCTTAATGGGAATCTCGTCAGCATCTTACACCACACCAAAGGTGGGGCTCAACATAACCTGTATGACAGGAAATCGGAGTCTTCGATGCGTGTCGTTTCGACGATATCCAGTACAAGCTTTTCGACAATACCATTGTGGAAATGCAGACGTTGTTGTGTGCCTACTTTCCTTTGTCCATCCAGCTCAAACTTAAACTCCGTTGATGCATCTTATATCAGCCATTCCTTTTTAAGTAGTTTTTAGCATGAAAGCATATTTGCATCCAATTATGTAAGAGAATATGACCTGCTATATTATTTACTGACCATTTCAAATTGCGCCACATCAACTAGTGCTTTTCCAAACGTGTATAGATGAATAAACAGCCTATTTCTTTAGTCTTATAAGCGTGGACTTATGTAAATGAGATAGCCGCCTGGCGCATACATATTCACGACTTCTGATTGAAGGATCGCAAAATTCATCATGTGGCATGAGGGGTGAGTACATTTGAGAAGCGCACAAAGGCTTTTGATACAACAAGCAGTGACGCTCTTCTTTAGCATCCAGGTCACTCACTTTGTGCACCAATTTAAAACGACTTACTGCTAGGACTGTTTCTTAGACGCATGAGCCATTTGCTAGATTCGTATATGGTCGTGCTTTCATTGTCTCATTGAAATTAATGCTACAACGAAACTATTAAGGAAACAGTTCCACATCACATAAGATTTATGCGTGTTAGTAAATGCTTGGCTATTTTTACTAGATTAGTTTATAAGAAACGCATACTAGCTTTACAGACTTGCCGTCACTTTTTATCATTCCTTGAAGTGCAGCAAAACCGCAGTGACGTCAAAATATTGTCAGTCAATGCCCACCTATGTCACATGCCTCTGCAGTTTAACCAGCTTACGCCTGCACGTGCTTGTTCTCATACAAAAATACCAAATTTTATTAATGCACACGATAGCGCCATTGAGATAACGCCTTTCTGACGGCTAATTTCTTTACTACAATGCTCTGTGAACGCAGGACTAACATGAAAATACCAATCATTTTGGATTACGATCTTGGGACCAATTCATGGAACTGGAACCAGCCATTACTCTTACCACTGTTTTCCTCGGCAAATGGTGTAGATGATTTCGTAATTCCGGATTCAAATAATTGTGCTAGAGTTGCATTTTTGATATTTTAAAATCATTAATGACACCTTGAGGCATTAAGAGCAAATGTGGATTTAGCTATTGTGACAGGGTCACCACGGGTGCATTACATTATTCAAAGAACATCAATACCTCTTAAAATGGATAATAGAGTAGATGGATGGTGTAAATTTTTCTTTAAATCCAGTGTTTAGTCAATTTAGTCTTTAGGCCTTAGAAAATAGCACAAAATAATTGTTCAGACGTTACTTCACTTGATGAAAGCTAGACAGCTTTGTTACCTTCCCACCAAATGTCAGTTTCATTAGCATTTGCATTATTCTTATGATTTCTTTTAGTCTCTTCTCTGAAAATCACTCCAAATTATTGCCATATGATCTTAGGTGGTCCTGTAAGCGCTTTGTTAATCATACATTAAGAATGAAAAGGCTCCCGCGATCAGACAGGCTTTATTACTACGAAGTCTGTGGGGCTACCTTAGAGAATGTCAGAGCTTTGTGCGATCACCACGGATCAATCGCAATTGTGAGCTTATAAATTAAATGCAAATGCATCTTACGTCCATAAAATTTTATCAGCGTTTGCCTCGAGACCATTGTTTACAACTCGCTTACTGGATGAGCATTTTCACCCCACATCATTGTAAGTAGCATTGAAAATAATAACAGCAGCATTGTCTGCCAAATTATTATTATGATAGGTCGACCGGTTTAGTAAGTCCAAAGCGAAAGCACTGAAACTCAACACATATCTCGACTTTGCATGTTTGGCCACGTAACATATTCCAATAGTGTTGCAATCACTGGTTCGTTGGGCAAGCTTTTTAATGATGCAGAGCAGTCGGCTTTTTGTAATAGCCTCTTAAATTTCGTGCTCCTTCCTACTACAATTGACTGGATAGATATTTCAGAGTGTATTTAAACAGCATGGAAGTTATTGACGTCCAGTGCAAAAGAAGTTAAGTATGTGGGTACGGCATGATGTATCACGAGGCAAATTATTTCTACTGAGGCTCGCATATCGTCACATTAATTTCCCACAAGTGGTGAGCAATGTCTCAGAGCATGTCAGTGTTACACTCTCAGCTGAGAGCGCAGAGCTGCGCAAACGTTCGTTCCTTGAATTAAATTGCTTTGTAAAGAAAGACAATGTATTAAAATTCATCAAGCAGAATAACAGGACAGGTTGGGTGTACTTCCATCTGTTTATGTATAATTGTGAGGAATATTATCATATACGCATTGGGTAGGATGAATTTTCAATGTGCAAAGTGTTTGGTCTAAGTTTTAAAGTAAATTCTTACCAAACACTTAAAAAAATCAATTTTTTTATTAAAAGAATAAGGCTAGTGTTTGATTTCTTGCTTTTGTTACTTTCGATCGCCCAAATGCGTGCTTTGTATTAGCGTTATTAAAAGGGGCGGTGCAATGACACCTAAAATCGAAATAAATCACTTGATATATATATATATATGGAAAAAGCGACTTTGCAATATAATCCTTGCCTCCACATCTTATAAAATCGTCCACTTAAATGTGTCTAAGTCAGGACATCAAATCAGTGCAAAGAATGCTGTCAACTTGAATAAATTTACCAAAAAAAATTACTCGTGGGTATTTCATTACTCTACTTTGGTGAGTGTGCCAATGCTGTGGGAGATATTCGGCGCTGAAACACTTGAAACGCTTCAAATGATTAAATTATTCTACGCATCACTTTGCCAATTATTGAAGTAGGCAACCGCCAATGTGCTATTGCCAGAGAAAACGACGCTTCCATGGGAGAAATAGGTTTTCTTTGGATAATTCTCATAGAGTTAGCAAACCCGCTTTCTCACCTTCTACTGAGTTCACTGAAATTGATATACACGTAGTTTCACTCTGATAACGTGCAGACTAAACCTGTAAAAATTGCTGTTACTGTTACGCTTTTTTGGCTCCATTAATCCCAAATGCGACGTAGTAGAAAATATTAGCTTGTCTGTGAACAACGTCTCAGTCCATATCACAAATTATGCCCTGTAAATGATACCGGGCATAAATGAAAATGTAGATGTATAATTGGCAAGAGGTAGAGGTGTAGAAAGTCGGTAATACATAGGAAGGCAAAGAGCATATAAACTGTGTCCCTTGGTCGCTATGCTCCATGTAAGATGAGAGACAGCATATTTTGAGCGATGTCAAGCATTTATCATTGACTTTAAAGTAAAGGTGGCACTACCCGTAGTTATGCGTGATCACTAAGTTAGAGGATTGCTTCACTTTTGACTTTAAAAGGGAGAAATAAACCAGGAGAATGGTTGCATTTACCTAAGGAACCACATGATCCATCAAAAATTTTACATCAAAATAATACGAATACTTACCCATATTTCCACCTGTAGCGCCGGGTTGCAAATGAAAAGTATATTCAGATTATTCCACATAGCCTCACTTCAAGCACGTGCATACTAAGTCTGTGAGAACTTGCTGCAGGCACCACACCCACACCCACGCATTTATGGCTACGACACTGCGTAAGTCAACACCGTGTTGAGCATCTTCTACTCGCTGGTATAACTGCCGTTTTACCCTGTTAGCCAACCATAGTGATGAGATGAAATTGGAGAACAGATAAAGGCACGCTAGATAGTTTGTTAGTTATGAACGTGTGCCATGCTGCGAAGTACCTTCTTCCTTGTCATCGTCGCCTACTGCTCAGGTGCGTATTCATCCATTCAGTTTGATTTCCTTTCTTACTGAATTTGCCACCGTACGCCATAACACAGTGCACACAATGATGATAATTTTAGCACGAAGAAACAGGCAGTCTTTACCACTAATTACACCAAAAGAGTTGTCACTTGTGATCTCACAGATTACGTAGGCATTTGTATAAATACAATGGACAAAAATTAATACATCTTTACATCTGCGGAACAGGAGCCGACCCAGTGCTATGGGGTTCTCGGATTGTGGGAACACCGGCGGGACCATCACCACCTATGTATTTCCGTCATCCCAAAGAAGCCGTATGCACGACGTTTCTGTATAAACAGATATTTTTTGACAAATTGATAAACACTTTCGTGTGTACAGCATCAGCACCCATTTTTACGTCGTATATGGCAGCTCTTTTGGATTGGCAAGGCTAATGCAAGGCAACAAATATAACATCTCTCTGCCGATTAAATAACTTGTTCATGCATAAAAGGCTTTAGAGAGTGTCTTAATTTATTTTAGGCGATATTTGTGATAATTGATGGCTTGATGTCTCCAATCAAAATCGAAAATGGCACGTGTTATCTTGGCGATAAAGTCTGGGGTTCCCCTTGCCAAAGGTATAAAGGTAGGCAGAACGTTAAAACTCGGCTCCCATCATTTATTCATTCTTCTTTTATATCAAGGTACTTTTTGCGTAAGACTATTTAAAGGCATCAAAATTTTGTTCAACACATGAAGCAGCTGAACTGCTGCACTTTGATTCTGTGTAATAACGGCAATAGGCAGTCCACAGCATGCGTATGCTAAGAAACCCAGTCCCTAGATTAGTATGAGAGATCAGTGTTTGAAATTTTAGAAAGTTCCAACATCACCTTGAAAGACGTATCCCTTCAGGAGGCATTACAAATCTGGGTTGAATATTTACCCATTTCTACAGCATTCTTTGTGCCGAATTGTACTACTCAGACGTCAAAGGAAGGCAAGTCGATTGAGCTGAAGAAGTATGTGAGGAACTTTTGCAAGACAACTGCTTGGTTAAAACATGCCAATTTCAAATGCTTTCTTTGGCAGGCAGCATTTCAAGTGGTTATTGTGGTCTGTGTGATGCTTGGGCCCTTCACTTACCCGATAGTTGAGAGAAAGTGGAGGTGGAAAGTGTAACCACCAAGTGCTTTGCTTGCAGATGAATTCGACTGGAAGACATCGTTTCCGCTTTCTCGATTTGGGAAGGGGCAATCAAATGTCGAAGTCGCATTAGCTGTTCGAGGTGCAAACAGCCGGGGCTTGGTACGTGATCCCTTTCAGACTTGCTGGCAACATAGTGCCTTCGATTTCTTACAATGGCCATGTAAAGATGTTCATCAATTGCTCATGATTTTGTGCTCACGATTTCCTCTATTCTTGCTCATTACAATATAGACATCCCTTTATCAGAACGGTAAATTTGCGTGTGGTTGGAGGGGGACAACACTTGTTCTCTCTGAATCTCCTGTCTGCCGTAAGTTTGTTGCACTTTCAGTCAAGCCATTTGCTGTGCTTATTAATGCAACCGATGTGCCAATTCCACTTTCTTCCACTCATTCAAGGTAATATGTCGAAAGATGAAAAATCCAATCTAAGAACATTTGTCCTGAACATTACTCAAAATACTATTACTTCTATTGGGTGGTATACCTCTACTAGAAGGATGACAGTTAATATTGACTGGACGCAAGATGGTGAGTGAATATTCCTACTGATTTGGGGAGCCACCATCATTCCTTGCAATAAAGTATCATGGCTAATAACACTTCACAGTGAGGTAATCCCGAGAAAACCACTTATGCACCAGACCAAAGAAACATACATTTCATTCGAAGTAAATGAATCTCTTGCATTGCTTTAGGTGTATCGCCAGAAGTTGCGGAGTGTAATGGTGAGTTCAAGCACATGACTACTTAACAGCAGTCAATATGTCTGGCAACACCACGTGCTATAAAATAGGGTTCCACTTTATGTTAGCAAACTGCTTTTGTTTCGAAAATGCTTTAATGTGCGTGAAGTATGTCAGGGTGCTAAGGAATAGTGTATGCTTTTTCGATGTTACCGAAATACTTCCTGGTTAATATATATTAAAATCATTTACTTGATGCAACTTTTAGAATATTGGGGTGAAATGAGTAAGTAAAATGAAGTGCATTTTGATCAAACTTGTGAATTTGCACTTTACATCCTATCACGCTAAATTTCTAATACCTAAGTTTACATTGCATGTATGCTGTGTAAAATTTAGGTATTAAATTTTACAAGCCTACTTTCAGTCCTCAGCCCGCCTAAGCAATGCATGTGACTTAGAACTCAGAATGCCAATCCACCAATTTCTGCTTAAAGGCTATAAGGTTTTGTGTAGATACAGAGCAGATGAACTATCACAATGTATATTCTAAAGAGCACAGCTTTACTTTTGAAAACAGCAACAATATTTAGAGCAGGTGTATGAGAAGTGTGAGGCAGCATGTGGTACGTCTATTATAATTTGAAGCAAAAGCATTGCGCAAATACTGGTGCGGTGAAGGAGGAACAGCAGTGTCTTTGTCCGCATTACATTGTCAGCTTCACAAAAGGTTACGGGCATTGCGACGGAGAGCCTCGATAGTGCCGAGTCGACAATTATGGAAAACTCGGTATCCAGTGCCTTTCATTAGACCTTCTCGCACCAGTTTTTATGTGACCCTAACTTAATAAATACATTGGCTGTTGAGCTACCAAGACTAGGCCAGTCTAAAACATGCCAATTCCATGTGTGATTTTTGTAGGTACTCAATGAGTAGCCAAGCATTACCTTAACTGTAGTTGCAGTCATTCTAAAATTATTCCTTTTTTGATAACTTTATGCAGCTACAACCTCTTCCGGTGAGTTAGTGAAGCAACCATTTTGATCAGTAACACTATTTTGACACATTTGTTCATGCCAGTAAATAAGCTTATCCACTATGGTATGACACTTTCAATAATTCCTCTGCTTTCTTCCATAATCTAGGCCCTGAGGTGAAGCACACTTCTACGAGTGAGTTGTTTGATTTTGGTAATATCAGTCCACTTTGCACGTGGCCTGAGTTGGCTGGACACTGAGTGCTTTTACTGAATGAGTAATTTATTAAATTAAAGCACCACCATCTACGTTCTACGTCTAAGATTATAGTAAACTCTATTGCAGGAAAGTAAACACCTATTAATTTTTGTTACACCTTAATTAATTTCTTGACGTACTTCTTAAATATTTTGGGCTTTTTGACGACACGACCTTTAAAATAGGCATTTCTGTACATTATAAAGACGAAATGACCAAGCAGTCTTACTTGTAGCCTGATTTACTCTTTGTTATCATGCATTGGTTTTTGTTTTTTAGTTCTGGTTGCATTGCTGTCGATGCTCATGCTAATGAGAGCGCTGGCCGGTTGAGCAAACGAGCAAACAAGTACAACGACGGAATAAATACCATAGACTTTCGGGCTTTTTTGAAGCCATTTTCAATAAGCTGCCATTTTTAAACCTATTAACAAATTTTCCTTCCATTCCCAGCACCACGTAACTGGTAAATTTAACTAGTATCACACCCTGACTTTTGACGTTAATCTATCTCATATCCCCTTACAAACAACCTTAATAGCATCCTATTCCTTCCTTCCCCTTCTATAAACTCAAAATAATTTTCATTCCTGTTTAGGTTTTTGCCGCAAGGCATCCGTTTGTATGGTGCAAAAATCATAACTATGAGCCTAAACACAAACGATCCCAATCTCCAGACACACGTTGGCAGATAATTAGACAATTCGTCAGTATCACACATTGAGTTATTGTAAAATACAGGAAGGTCGGCAGACCTCAAGGTTTGTCATTATATGTATGCGCTTTTAGGACTCGTTAGCACGTCATTCATGGTCTCACCGTCTACTGAATGCGTGAATGGTTTGTTTCATCGGGAGAGTAGAACTCCGCAAACTACTTTATCATTTTACTAGATTGTCACACCAAATCTTTTCGGCAGGTTGTGCTGTCTTACCGCATGTGACGACACTACACACTTGAGTAAGTGATAGGACGAGCCTTTAAGCTAAGTAGTTGTGGCTACCAAAACAATAACGAAATGAAGCAAAGTGTACACAGATGATTTACATTCCTAAAGCCTCATCAGGTTAAACGCATATTATGTAATTTGTTTAATAACTAGTCAAGTTGCAAACCGCACTACCCATTCGCAATCCCGTGTGGTTAGTAATGATTGGGAAGGTGATTGCATGTGCGTTTAATGTGATTGATAATGCGCCATAGTTAGAACATTCGCATGTATGTGGGGACCACTGGTGCATCTGGTTCACAACGGTTCAGCTTAGCGTCTCTGAGTAGTCCCTGCATCTTGCCACGCCATAAATTAACAATATGTGCTATAAAATTATACACAACTTATTTTAATAGCTAAACAGTACTTGTTATCAGTTTTGCTTTTAGTTGACAAATTGAACCATAAAATTTAATGAATGTATGGATTGCTAGCAGGTTAGAGGGATGAATAGAGAGGACACAGTGGACTGATCATGGGCTACTTTGTTTCGATTAGGCAAACCTTAGTAACGGTAAACTTTGTCGAGAAGAGGATCCCATTCATGGCCTACAACTTCTTTTACATTTAGCCAAATGGGAATCGGAAGAAGTCGAAAAGGTAGTTGAAGGGCAATTGAATCAATTCTAACTGTGGTGCATCCGTAAAGCTTACTACTGTCAAATCTGAAATTCTTTTCACCATCAGTTTAGATAAATATGAGTGTTTAGTTCATAAGTGAATGGATCTTAAATTTTCTATGTTACATTAGAGCTGTGACTGAAATGTGCAAAGGGATGTAAATTCACTTCTTAGGTAACTGAAATTGGTATCTACCAGGATTCCACTAATTGGATGTTCAAGTGGACTATTTATTGTGCCTGTTGTAGGCAGTCTAATTGGTTCCAAGAAGAGAAGCAAGTAATGCACAGTCATTATTACTGCAGTAGGTAGTACTGAGGAGGTTGCAGTCGTTATCATCTACCCGACATTCGTTGTGGACTCAAGCGCCATGCCATGCAGGTGGTGTTGGGGTGGTCCTGTCACATAGTCGCAAATGCTTAGGAGCAGTTTTGTGTTCTGTGGTAGTGGTGGTCTTCCCAATGCCTCTCCATCAACTTCTACTTTTCATATCCTGTCCCATTATTTGCCTTTAGCAATACCTCTTCTATCCTTTTCCTAGTACTATGCGTCTGTGCATGCATATGCTGAAGTAACAAGAGTATTCTATCGAATCATCTCTTCATGTGTTCCTCGTAAATAAATATGCGGTCCCTTAATGCAGCTTCAGCAGTCTACAGTGTTTGTTGAATTCACATCATCGTTACCCCTTTAGCTCTGAGCTGATGGCAGTTTCCTTGTCTCTGATTGATAATACACAAATGGGGAAATCCCATATTTGGGTCTTTGTCGTGCTTGCTTCGTATGCTGTCTCGGTTACCCAAACCATACAGTAAGACATATGGTTTTTTTGCATCTCATAATACGTGGTGGGTAGAAGTGTTTTAGTCCTCCCAGATCCTTACGATGTTAGAAGATCCACTAAAGAACTCAAAGCAGAAAAATTGCCTCTTTCATATCCAGGTTTGGGCGAGAGATGTAAATGCGGCGGGGAACTACAGCCACTCGGAAGACAATCGCTCATCTAGTTCATCCGGACACTACGCTGGCGAAATTAATGAACTTGTTATCTTGCGGGTAGACGGGCATTCTTCCATATTTTGCAGCAGTATTCAACGAGGATTATACTTTGGCGATAAGTGGAACGCAGTAATGCAAACCAAAATATTCCAAAATGCCTGACTACATAAATTTTAGCTTCTCAATGTTAAGTGATCATTGTGATAAATCCTTCTAGAAGTGAAATAAAAATCGCGCACTAATTCCCGTCACTCTACTTTTCATTGTTGCACCATTCGCCTATACTCTTGATGGCACAAGATTGAGTTGTACCACCTGTCTAACCTCGTATGCATCCATAACCAAGTCGGCAATGTATAGGTGCATGACACAGCGTCTTTCAAAGTGACTCAAAGACTACACTGCTACGTTGCGCACTTCAAGGAATTAGTCGACTTCAAAGTTATCGGCCATTTACGCGACACAAGTGTAAATGGCTTGCAAATGCCAGTTAGAATCAAGCTGAGCCACTTTTAAGCGGCAGACCTAACATTACCATTATAGGCTAGCGTTCCTCCCGGAATACCTCTTAAAGAAGCCCTCCTATCCCAACATTAGCCTTCATGTTGCCTGGATTACGCTTAAGATAAGTACTCACGTGCAGCCGGCTTAGTGCCGCACTGCTCGGTTGTTGGCATTGCTCCAGCCAACATGAGGTGGTGAACAGTGCTTTCCTTCGTCAAGGTTGTCGGATGAATTTGCCCAATAGCTCCAAGGCCTCTTATGCGGACTTTGCAACAAAACTTCCTAATTGCGTGCATTGTCTCTTCCTTCTCATCTTACATCAATTATTTGACGTAATTTGATCTGCGATAACTACTGTCAGGAAAGAAATACTCCATCGCCGCATTCCATGCACAACTACAAGCCCGTCCTGACACTTGATGAACGCCTGTTTCTCAACCACGGACTCAGACATACCATTAGTCCCAAAGTCAAACGAGTAATCGCGCACCGTTGAAGCTTATTAAACCTTCTGTCAGCAACATAAAAATGAATATTTTAAAATGTTTTATACTCATTACCTACAAGCTTTTGTTGCCTACTACTTTTGATCTCTCTTAACAGCATTGCTAAATTCATATGCGCAAATGATAGGCTTGTAAATGACAGGGCCAGTCAGGATCTTCCTTACTACGAAATAATACACGACACATTAGTCCAATGACTTATTATCAACCCACAATATCCATTCCCTTCAGTGCAAGCAAAACCAAAGCAAAGAACAAAACAAACCGTGAAAGTGGTACAAGGCATTTAGTTAGGACGATTTTTTTCGGGAAGGACGTGATGGTATACGCTTACACCTTTTGCAGTTGCATCTTTTGTTAGAATTTGGTGGTATTTGGGCGGTTTTATTTAGTATCTTTTCGATTCTTATGGGTTTTACGATGAGATAATCTAAAGCAAATTTCTGAAACGTGATGAAGTTCAACGAACTATAATTAGGATTTATCTCTTCATATTATATCATCCCAGGTCTTCTCCAGTCGTATAAAGCCATAGTAGTTACTACGTTAAGAGACCTTTACTGCCACCGGTAACATCTTATGAATTATAGCAGAAACATCCTAGTTAATTTAAACGCACGATAAAGACAAACAGTGAATTAGGCAGCGAAACAGTCCTCATGGATAACTGGGTTTGCTATGACTTTGACGCAGAAACTACACAAGACAAACAGAAAACTTGCAGTCAGACGGCCGAGGACCTCGAATTCAAAGTCTCCAAATTGTTCTCAAAATGCACAAGCTCGAATCACGGCCAGCAAACTTAAATGACATTTCAGAATATGGGGCTTCGAGATAGGAGAGTGATAAGCGACACACACCCAAGGACATTTGATCCACTCTACTAGTTACGCAAGGTACGAATTTCTTTAATCAACAAATAAGTTGGGATAACTACGCTCAATGCTACATTCTTGCAATTGCAAGAAACCACAGTTCTTGTCCATGGGAGAGACCTAAAAGAATTATCTGAACTACAACGCTGACACGAGGGGATTCGCTTCTTAACATTTGAACAAGGCAGAATGCGCTACAACGAAGTGCGAAGGCGACATTGATTGAATGTGACAATTTTATTATTAGTGGTACCTACAATGGCAATAGGAAGAAATAAAATCTTGTTAATGTTCGTTGCGATTTCTGGAAAGTGAATTTAAAGGTGTCGTATGATAATGTGCTCATTGCACAGAAAGTCGCGTCTCATCTCCTTAGGCGTCACTGTGGCTGATATTACCGGACTCTGACCTTACGAAGTACGTCTCAGCGTTCAGTGCGGCTGAGCTCACACGTCTTGAATGGATAAAAACAAATTACATCGACAAAGTAACCAGCTCACTCTACATACAGACACGACATTATGGCAATTCTCTAGTATATGAGAGAAATTACCCAGGGAAATAGTACCTGTCCCTATAAAGCAATCCATGCGCATGACTCATTTACAGGAGTGCAGTACCTAACGTTGAAGCAACTCAACAGGAACTTCCTTCAAGCAAATTTTGTCGTCTAATTTGAACCAAGCGTTTTTTAGTAAAACTATAGCAGTAAAGATGACAATTGCAAGGTTTAACTTCCTAGTTGTGTGTAATTTTATCAATAAAATATACAACAACTGCAAACGTTGAGATAAAAGGATGCCGCATATAATATTCAAGTAGGTGCGCTTGCGAAGGTACAATACATATAAGGGGTTTACACACTCGTCGAGCAAAATAACCGCTTAAAAAGGCATTTACCTATCCGGCTGTCATTTTGCCTAAAGGATCAAGGGGTGTTTTCAACGAAAGAGTCGTGAGATTTACCCAGAGCCAGTTCACTGAGGTGAAGGCAGCCCTGGGAGGCAGTGTGAGGTAGAGGTAATTAGCGGATTTGCTCGCCATATCGGAGAAGTAGGCGCCCTTGCCAAACACATACCCTATCGAAGGCGCCTCGTGGGGGTGCCATCTGTAAGCCCTGTGCTGTGCCAAGTGAGAAGGTCGAGGGGAGCACAAATAAGCAGTTATAGCTACTTAACTAGATTTAAGTGGAGGAAGAGTACCCACAGAACGCCTGCACAGTTTATGAGACGAGCACCGTACCAGAGCATTATGCGACTGTCCAGCGCCTTTAAACGCTCTGCCCCCCAATTCCCTCAAAAAAGTGTCCATTACCTCCAGAGTAAAAAATGAAATGCATTGAAGCGTGAGTGACATGCAGGTAGTGCGCAATCCATTCAAACTTCTCCAAGTCCCGATTAAGTGCTGACGGAATATTCAGAAAAGAGTCGCTATTAAGGTATTGAAGGTAAAATTGATTAAAAAAGCTTAATATACGGACCTTAATCCGACTCTTGAGTTTCTCATAGTGCTCATCAAGGGGGTTGACGTTGGAGTCACTAGCCATTATAAGGAAATTGGCTACATCCAGCTTCAGTCATTCATCTAACATTAGAGGCTTGGTTATGATCACCTTCAGACCAAAGTCGTGCAGAATGCGCGCATCCAAGCTTATTATGCTGCCAATCAGGCTACTCATGTCTAGTCCTTTGATCTGCATTTTCGAAGCTAGTGAGTTAGAAATCGCTTAAACGCCGTAGTTTGCCTGAATCATCTGCACCCGTGACATCTTCCACAGTGGTATATTCCTAGCATCAATCTACGAAAGGACACAAACTGGTATGCTTGCTCGAACACTTTGTGAGAGCTCGACATTAAGAGTCAAGTCCGACCTCAAACTCCATCAGGGCATTAGTCGTTAAGGCGATGTCGAAAAGGAAATGAATGAGTTCCCAACGTCGGGTTTCCAGCTCAAATGACACGTGATGCATGAGTTTTGTCTTTTCACCGGTTTCATCGTCCTGTGCAACGAGATAGGGTGATCATAGAAATCCCTACAAATATCCCTAAAAATTAACAGGGATTCGGGACTACTCAGACCGATGCAGAGAAGCGCTAAAAGGAGTACAAATATAGAGGGGTTTAGAAACTACCCCGTGTTGCACGCTAATGTGAAACGAAGCGCTCTTGAAACAACAAAGCACCCACAGATAAATTTGCACCAAATTTGACAAAATGCACACTACATGTCATGCCGCCTTGATTAGATACTTACCGTAACATTTTCACCTTTCAAACACGCAAGTTATTTCATTACATCGGAATAGAGTGTAGAACGACACTCGCAAAAGGACGAAGGCTGTATAACGATGGGAGACCTGCGAACTAAACTGTAAAACTCAAGAGCTGTTATATTAAGCCCTAGCAATATAGAGATGGTATGATGTTGTCTACCTTGGAATCAATTTGTTTCAGTTTGAGAGGAAAATGCGACATTGCAATTTGAAAAATTGGCATGCTCGGTACCCCAGGAGTTCCCAGTCTTCCCGAGAAAGAGGTCGTGGAAGTGTTGTATGGCGGCGTCGAGACTGACGAAGCACTCTCCCCTCGAGTCGCCAATATCCGTT